TTACTCCTCTTTTATTTTTTTAAGAAAATTATCCAATTAAATGAATAATACAAAGTCGTTGAAAGGTATGTTTCCAAAGGGACAATAAAGTCAAGTTATCAGGTCCTTTGGTCAATTCACGTGCTGTGTTTTATGTTAACTGCTAGCCGCAGCTTCCTATCTATGCCTTGGTATAACTAGTTGCGTACGTACTTATATGGCTTAGAAGGCATATTTCCTCCGTTCCAATGATACTGAATTTAAGAAAGAAATGTAAATTCTTGAAACGTGTGGTTATCCGTAACAAATGTTAGATATTTATATCCCTGAAAGGTGCAAACGTTTTAGATGTAATTGACCAAAAAGAAAAGTATACCGTATAAACTGGGATAGAAAAAATAATGACTAATCCTCTGCATGCATGAAACAGACCCCTTTATGAATACAGTAGTAACTAGTAAGGCGTTGAGCTACCTTGAAAGGTACAGAGTTTTTACCAAAAGTCCAAGCTACGTTCATTTTGTGCGATGTGTAGTTTAATTGCCATATATAATACAGTCTCTCCGTTAATATTTTCAATATGTCATGATTTCATAATTGTTTTGCTCATTTATTGTATCCCATTTAAATTTCTGTCACTTTTAATANCATGGGAATGGATAAATTCTTAGTAAGGAGCGTTTCCCCCAAATGGATTCTACGCGACACGTATCCGGATTAGTTGGATTTTAATGAGGGTACCGAACACCGGATGAGAAATCAAAAAAAAACGGATCCAAAGTTTAAAGTTTATGAGTTTATTATTTTAAAAAATAATTTTAAGTGCTAATAATTAGATTCAAAATTAAATATTTATTCCATTTTTATAAATTTCTTAATACTATGGGTGTCAAGGGGTCGGGCTATTGGAAAAGGAGACCGGCCGGTCTCCGTACCGGACCGGTTATCAGTTTTACCGGTTTCATGCCTTGCCGGTGAAAATTTGAACAGGAACAGTTCTAGGTCTAAGGGGCCGGGCCGGGCCGAATTTTTCTTTTTGTGTATTTTGTATAACTATCGTAATTTATATTAAGATAAAGTAAAAATATAAAACATAAAAATAATCTTATAAAAAGAGTGTTTGGATAAATTTCAAAGACTTTAAAAATCTTATATTTGAATACTTCATTAAGAATTTAAGATAATACAATGAAGATGGAAAAACAATTAACTTATAATTTGCAAGTTCATTTTTTAATTCAAACTTGCAAATTAAAGTTTACATTTTACAACAACTAAATTAAAGAAAAAAATGTAAATTCAGATTTGAATTATTAAATATAAATCAAGAATTTCAAATGTTTTGCATTGCCTTAGTAAGTTCTTCATAATCAATATGAACTTCTTGGCCATCTTCTGGAGTGTTAAATTCATATAGGTTACTATGTGTTAATATATCTCCAAGTTTCTCGTCTTCTAGTTTATCAACATCTTCACGTCCCTGATTTCTTTGTTCCGATCTAATCCAATCTCTGAAACATACTAAAACTTCCATATGGCATGAATATGGGGTTAAGGTTATGTTCGGTACAATTAGTCTTAAATTTCTTAATTCTAGATTGTCTTTTATTTCCTTGAATAACACCAATTGCTCTTCTAACATGAGTAATCTCAGTCGAAAATAAATCAAGGCCACTTTTAACAATTAAACTATAAACATGACATGCACACCTAACATGAAATTTTTTTTCAAGTGGTGATTTCAAATGCAATCTTAATATTGAAATAGCGGCATTATTGTTTGAAGCATTATCAAAAGACATACACAATATTTTTTTATCAAGATTGTAAAATGCAACAATTTTGCAAATAGTAGTACTTATAAAAATACCAGTATGACTTTGATCGTCATCATATTTAAAAGTGATAATACGTTTTTGCATAAAATAATTATCATCTATCCAATGGCATGTAATTGTAAAATAATCATTTCCATTAGCAGCATAGCCAATATCAGAAGTTAGAGAAACTCTACAAAGAAGGTGGTCAAACAAATAACGTATGTATGTCTGATATTGTCCATGAAGTCTAAAGATATCAGATCTACAAGTACTTCTAGGGATACATTTAAATAAAGGATTATACATCCTTTGAATATACATAATAAGATATGATGAAGAAGCAATAGAAAAATGTAGACAATCCAAAGCAATCATTTTTGCTAAATCCTCACGATCCTTCATTTCATCATATTTCATAAGTCCTCCAGTACTAGGGTTTAGAGTTCCTTGATTTTCATCTAAATAAGAGCCACATTCTATAGGATGATTAATTCTCATATCTACTAAGTGTCTCAATACCCTCTAAACTCCCTTCAGTCTTATGTTTAAAATCATCTATACAAATTTTGCATCTAACTCTATCAGAATTCTCTATTTTCTCAAAATATTTCCAAACTTTACTTCTCCTTCTCCGATTACTAGTCGGGGCCACATGTGATCTACTACTAGTGCCACGACCACCACCCTTGCTACCAACTTCAACACTACTAGGTATAAGTAGTGTCTCATCTTCAATTTTTAATTTATTATCTTTTATACCGAAATCTTTCTGTAATTGTTGATAATCTATATTATTATCACGTGATGTTTCAGAAACATGTGTAAAGTCATTTAAATTACTACTAGAAGTTGAAGTAGTACCTCTTTTTCTATTTCCATGATTACTCCGATTAACAACCTTATTACAAACTCTTTTTGCAGCATTAAACATATTGTGAAAATATAACTACGAATAAAAATTTAATATGCAAATAAAATATTAAATAAGAGAAAGAGTTGGAACGAGTGCACCGAATTACGCAATAAATTGAACGCTTGATGATTTTTGAAGTTTTGAAATTGAATTTCGCAACTCCGATATTACCACGAAGAAACGTCAATTTTTCAAAGTTCAAACTTCAAATAATACCATAAATAAAATTTCAAAAAAAATGAGAGCCAAATAGTTTATTGCAATTTAGGTGAAGAATGAGAAAATGACAATTGAGAATTTGGGTTTGAGAATTAAGAGATGAGTGAAGAAATGAAGAAGAGGGGGGTATATTTATAGTTTTTCAAAGGGTTAGATTAATAAATACTAAAAATATTATTTTTGAAAAAATAATTGCCCAAAAAGGGCTATTCTTGCAAAATAGCCGCTGCGCAACGGTCAAAATGGCAGTTGACCGTTGCCAAAGGACAACTATACCCTAAAAAAAAATAGAAATAGCCGTTGAACCGATCCGGGTCGGTCCGGGCCAGTCCGGTTAACCGGTTCGAACTTGACTTGACTGTACCAGTTCTGACCGGTCCGATTTACCGGTACCTCTATCCTACCTGGTACAATCCGTTCCCCGTCCCAATCCAGCCCTTCCCGACCCTTACCTATCGGTCCAGTCCGTTCCAGTCTAAAACCGGTCTGGGCCAATCCGGAACCGGTCAACCCGGCTCTGTTTGACACCTTTGCTTGACACCTACATAGTGTGAGATGCATTTTTCTATAAAAAAAAAAAAAAGGTCAGTTCTTGATTGTATCGAACATATTGATGAAATTTAACGGATGATGTCAGATTAGTTATCATTATTTTAATCACCAATTACTATTTAGAATTTATTAAGAGATTTATTTATAGTCACCTAATAAATAACTTAATTTTATAATATTTTTTTCACCATAAAGCTTAAACTATAAAGAGAAAGAATAGAGAGAAATTAAAGAAGTAGGTTGGACTCTTAGCTAGGGATTAAGGTATAATTAATCATCAAATTAGGGGTGTCAATGAATATTTAAAAATCGATTAAACCGACCGTACCGAACCGTATCGTACCGAACCGATTTTTAGGTTTCTTTTAATAAAACAGTAGGTTGTTATATAAATCTATAATCGTACCGACAATTAGGGTAGGTTTTTTATTTTATAAAAATAAACCGAAAAAATATCGAACTGTACCGAATAAATTACAATATGAAAAATATATTTATATATTTAGTTTAAAATAATAAAGCATTACATTTTTTCTTGGGCCTTAGAATTATGAAATAGTTACAAGCCAATAAGTAATTAAACTCAAAATCCTAATTCTCAAACCTATTATGCTACTCTTATTGAAACTAAATTATTTTCAGCATATTCACTAGCAAGACACAAGGTATTGTAGCGATCATGAGTAACAAATTACAATATATTGAATATGTTTCCTTTCGTATGATTTAAATTTATCTTTTTGAATAATTAATCTTCTATAAACTTTATTCTTGAGTTCCAACTTGGTTAATATTTTTACACTCGTGTGATTTATATTTTTATTGTATTTGCTTAATTTCTTTTACGTTGTTGTAGAATAGTTGATGGATCTATATTCTAGCCATCTTTCATATTTTCTTAATTCATCACCTTTAAAACTGTAAAAATGTCAAGAAAGTTTTGCCAAGTTTTATAAAAGTACGTATGTTATTGCATTCTACTTCTACTAGTGACTTTTACATGACATTTAAAAAAAACACCGAAAATTAACCGAACCGTACCGATACCGAAGAGAAACCAACATAATTGGGACGGTTTCGAAAAGTCTAATTTTGATTATACATAATAGAATAACCAAAAAATTGGTATGGTATAATTTTTATAAAATAACCGATCGAACCGAACTATTGACATCCCTACCTAAGATTAATTTTGAGATGAGTTTATTTTATTTTGATTGAGATTAAATTGTAGTATGAATAATTTTGAAATTAATTATATCGGAATTTAATTGATATGTTAATCCCTATAAGAGGATGGATAACAATCCCGGAAAAGTACTGAGTTTCCTGACCAAACGACCCGTTAAAGATATAAGACTCATACATCAACGAGAATAGAAAAAGTAACAAAAGGACAAAACAGTTATCAGCACTTTGTTCCAAAGCGGCAATTCAATAAAATATATGTTAGCCATAAAACAACAAGTAGCACAATAAGGTTAATGGATTAGGCCACATGATGCTTCGTTTCTCCAACCCAGAAGGCTCCTATGAAACCTCTTCTCATCTCAAAATTCTGACCTTTATAACTATCCTCCCCACACTCTCTTTTTCCACTCAACTCAATACTCTCCCCACTTTGAATTCTTTCAAGAATTTAAATATATATAGCTGAAATTAGATTCTTCAACTCTCTTTCCCTCGTTTTATTAGCAGATCAAAAATGGCCTCACCACAAGAGAATTGCACACTTGATTTGATAAGGCAGCATCTTTTTGATGATGATGCTTTTATGGAATGTTACTGCTCTGAACCTACCACCCTTGATTCCCAAAACTCCTCCTCTTCTGAATCTCTGGACCAGAGTTTCTCTTTTGAACCAACTCTCAACTATGCCGACACAGCCCAAAGTTCCAGTTTTGAAATCTCTAGCTTCTTTGACAATTCAAAAACAGAGTTTGACTGCTTTGAGTTGGAGACAATTCAAAAACAGAGTTTGAATTCTCGGAAGCAAACAAGCTTCAAAGAACGCAAGCCTTCTCTGAACATTGCAATACCTGTGAAGCTGCAGAAAGTGGAAGTAGTTCCAAGCGAGAAGAAGCATTACAGAGGAGTTAGGCAAAGGCCGTGGGGCAAGTTCGCAGCAGAAATTCGTGACCCGAACCGAAAGGGGACTCGGGTTTGGTTAGGAACGTTTGACACTGCCATTGAGGCGGCCAAGGCATATGACAGGGCGGCGTTTAAGCTTAGAGGAAGCAAAGCAATAGTGAATTTCCCTCTCGAAGTTGCAAACTTTAAGCAAGAATATAATAATGAGATTCCACAGTCGGCTAACTCAGGCCGGAAAAGGGTGAGAGGAACAGAGAATGAGGAGCAATTAGTTATCAATAAGGAAATGAAAAGAGAAGAAGAAAGAGTCCCTACTGCGGCGGCTCCATTAACGCCGTCAAGTTGGTCGGCGATTTGGGACAGCGGAGACGGAAAAGGAATTTTTGAGGTGCCGCCTCTTTCCCCATTGTCTCCACATATAGGGTATTCTCAGGTTGTGATGATATGATCAGATAAGGAACGGCAACGTATATAGATTGTGGTGTTAGTATTTAGTAGATGAAGGATAAATATTGCACCTGACTGTAAAAAGTCTGTGGTGATTAATTTCTCAGCCAAAAAAAGAAATATGGGGGAAGGTGGGGGTAGCTACGGGAATTAGTATGGTGATAATAAAGATTGGTGTCTGGTCTCCTCCTTAAGTCTTTTGATTAAATTTTATTGTTTATGTAAAAACGTCAGTCAGAGATCTGTTTGATTGTTTTATATATTCATATCTATGAAACTATGAAAGCATATACCTACTAAAACCTACGTATTTATTTAAACTCAAAAAAGAGTAAAATATATTATAAATATACATATTACAACATTAAGTTGCAGCGCATTTTTAAGTGTGTTTACAATGTAGTAACTCGCAAGATTAGCTCAGTTAATTAGTTGATGAGATGTTACATTAGTACTGAATCAAACATTAATTAGTGACTTGTCCAACATGACCAAGTGCTGATATTCCGATGGAACTCCTATTTAATATTCTATCATCTGAGTCGTATTCCGCGAAGTGACAGTATTAATTGGAATATTATTGTAAAATTGTAATACACAGAAGTTTCACGAATTATTTTGTTTAACTCCTACAAGTCAATAGCAGTGCGGGAACCACATACGTTATAATCCTAGTACGTAATCTAGCTAGTCAATTCAACTGACTTTAGGTTTTCTGAATCTTGTACTACTATGATTATGTCTTTTATTTACTTTGATATGCTACATTACAAAGTTGTGGAAATCTCAGTACTCAATAAGACTATCACTAACCAAAAGATTTAAGAAGAATGGCCAGCTAGTCCAAGACATATATAAACGCAAGAAAAACCTTTTGATCAAATTTGTTAGACCAATGATGTAACTCATGACAGAAATAATACGAAACCAACCGGTAATATACTATAAATAGATGACATACATATATAAAATTTAAATACAAAAAACATTAATATTTGAGTCGCAGGAAGTATCAAGTTACGAGGCTTTGCATTCTAGGGGTGTTATATCTTCTAAGTATAATAACTAGTCTCTTTTCCATGAAAGGAGAAGATAAATCATCACGGTTGTAGCAGTAACGATCAGTTTATGTAGATGACATTTTGGTTCCTAGGATAATGCAGAGGAATAGACAGTACTTTTGAGGCTTTTCTTGATTCACAGTTCAAAAATTAAGGATTAGGTCTTCTTCATTACTTTCTTGGCCTTGAGATTTCGTACAACCTAAAGGAGTGCTAATTGCATGGAAAATCTTCTTTGGATCTCCTCAGAGAATGTGATGATTATGCGCCTAAACCTACAGCTATTAGTCCTCTGGACATACTGATCCTCGCCTAAAATTGAATTCCCTTTTTCATTAAGGCACAAATCATACTGATCCTTGCCTGTTGCTTTGTCCTAGAGAAATTTATGATGGTAGGGCTTGTTGCTTTTATGTGCCTTCTCGCTTTCTATGGGCAGATTTGTTCACTACTAAAAGCAGTTAATTAGTGGTGTTCATCACCCATCAAATACTGCTAAGCAAGTAGAGAAGACCGATTACCTATTACAAACAACTCGGCATCCTACCCTCCATGAACTCCTCACCTTGCTCTTGAGGTGACTCGAACTCACAGCCTCTTGGTTGGAAGTGAAGGGTGCTTACCATCAGAACAACCCACCTTGTCTCGATTACAAACATGTTAAAATAAATTTATAGTACGTGTATATAAGTTATATTCTTACACTCATGCTATTCATCAAGTCTGAGCTAATCAGTTGCTCAAACTCGACCTAGACAGCTAGAACCTCACTTATTCTCTCTGTATAACTTTCTTCTAATATCTTTGTTTGTTAAGGTTTGCCCCATCTTTTTATCATATTTGAATCTTATTGTTTCTTGAAGGCTGGGTAAAATATCTAACACAATTGATTTTTACTCTTTTTCATATTTGGCGAATATGTATTCCCCATCTTTCTAGTCTCCCAACTGTGGCTAGCCTCTTTTGAACAGCTAAAAATTGTCTGGTAATAATCCTAGGCTCATAACAAGGTTCTTCTACTGAACGTTTGAATATTGTGGCAAGAAAGATAAGTAAGTCTTCTTGGTACCGAATCCACCTGCACATGAATGTTTTTGAAGTTCTGCAACAGTATATCAAATATGAATAAACAAATAATAGCATATTCCCCCTTTTACCGTAAAGATCTCCAACAAAGTCAGAAATTTAATACTTTCCGTTTCAATTTAGTTGAGGTAGTTTGATTTGGCACGAAATTTAAGAAAAAAAAAGAGTTTTAAAACTTGTAGTCGCTTAAATGGTAAAAGATTTATGGGGCCATGACATTTGTATGGTTATAAAAGCTTCTCATTAAGAATAAAATGGGTAAAATAAAAAATTTAAAGTTGAATTATTTCTAATTGTAAAAATGTTTCATTCTTTTTTAAACATACTAATAAAAAAAGTGCCTTCTAAATTGAAACAGAGGAAATAGTAAGTTTCATAGAACCATTTATGTAAAAACAAAAAAGGTAAAATAATTATATCTTACAATTCAAAATCAAATTAATCTATATGCGTAAATGATTTGAAAAAAATTCTTGAAGAAGCAGAGGATGGTGGAAAAATTAACTACGGATAAAATTTTGTCTGTGCTAAGAGATGCAGTCGAACTGGTCGACATTTATATTCTAAAAAAATCATCTCACTGCAAAGTTGAAGATAGGGGTGAGGGATTTGGGGTTGGTTTAGATTAGTTAATTTTTTTTTTTTGGTCTTTTTCTTATTTTATCCTTTAATTATGATAAAGTGGAGAAGCTGTAACCATCTCCAAAACTGTAAGTATTAAATTCAAATTTTAAAACTTTATCTTTTAATTTTTTTTATCTTGATGTTTGATTAAAATAATACTAACACTTTTTAAAAAGGTATCTTTGAATTTAATAACTCATATAATTATGTCAAAGTGTGAAATTAAAACCATCTCCAAAGCTGTAAGTATTAAGTTCAAATTCAAAAGCTTTATCTCTCAATTAATTGTTTTTTACATATAAAAGTCTATTGTTTCTACCCAAGTTCAAATGTTGATAAGAAGTTGTAATTATATAAAATTAGAAATTTTCTATCGTATAATATGTTACATAATTAAAGGTTTAAGTTGATTTGATTTAAGATTAAAGTATGAAATATAATATTTAAAAAATAAAAATAGATCAACAAAAACTTTTAAAAAAAAAAAGTCAAAACAGAGAAAGGAAAATAAAGTAGGTTTCAAGAAAAAGTTATCTTTCAAAAATTAACAAATAAAGTAGGTTTATTTTCCAATTAAAAATTTTGTCAGTTTTAAATTTAATTATTTCTTGTGTTAAACTTTATCTTCCAATTAGCAATTCAAATTTTAAATTTTATTTTCCAATATTTTAACTTTATATAAATTAAACTCTAAATTTTTTGGAGCTTTGACCTAAAAAAGTGACACTTACTTCTTCTTTTTTTAATGTAATGCCACTTGGTTTAATACGGTGGAAAATTCATTTGTGCTAAGAGATGCATTCGAATAGTCGACATTTGTATTCTAAAAAGGAATTATCTCAATGCTCCAAAGATGACGATAGACAAACGTGAGCAAGGGATTTGTGACTGGTTTAGGTTAAATTTTTTTTCTTTTTCTTATTTTATCCTTTAATTACGATAAAGTGGAGAAGTTATAGGCATCTCCAAAACTTTAAGTATTAAAAAAAAAATATTCCAGGGAAGTCCGCAACCGCTACCTTTCGGGTGCGCACTGAGTAACATGTTTACTATGCAATAGTTCGCAAACCACACAGGAGATGTAAATCGTACTAGGCAGGCCCTGTGCGACAAGCTCTAACTGAGGGTACTGCTGGTGTGGGGAATCAATCCCAAATCTCCCATGTGAAAAATTACTCACATACGAGATGTAAACCGTATTAGGCAAGTCCGGTGCGACGAGCTCTGACTGAGGGGACTGCTGGTGTGGGGAATCGATCTCAAGTCTCCCACGTGGAAAATCACTCACACATGAGAAGTAAATCGTACTAGGCAAGCCCGGTACGACGAGCTCTGACTAAGAGGACTGCGGGTGTGGGGAAACGATCACAAGTCTCTACTCACCCAACCAACTCAGTTAACCCTTGCGGGTCACCTTAACTTTTAATTCTTTTTAATCTTAGTGTTTAATTAAAATAATAACTCTTTTTAAAAATCTTAGTTTTGAATTTTGAAAACTCCTTAATTACGATAAAGTGGGAAATTATGACCATCTCCAAAACTGTAAGTAATAAGTTCAAATTCTAAACATTTATCTCTCAATTAATTTTTTTGCATTTAAATATATGAGTCTTGTTTTTCAACCTAAGTTCGAATGCTGGTAAGAGGTTGTTTTTATTTAAAATTAATATTTTAACCTCTATCGTATTATATGTTATAAAACTAAATGTTTGAGTTGATTTGGTAATGTATGAAAATAGAATATTTAAAAATTAATTATAGATTAACTCAAATTTAAAAAGAAAATCAAAACAGAGAAAAGAAGATAAAGTAGGTTTCATGATAAAGTTATCTTTCAAAAATTAAAAAATAACGTAGGTTTATTTTTCAATTCAAAATTTTATCAGTTTTCAATTCAAAAATTTAAATATGTAGTTTGCTAAACTTTATCTTCCAATTATCAATTCAAATTTTAAACTTTATCTTCTAATATTTTAAATTTATATAAATTAAACTCTAAATATTTTGGAACTTTGTCGTGAAAAAGTGATATTTGTCCTTTTGTGGTTATGCCACTTGGCTTAGAGCCCGTTTGGATATACAAATTTTTTTCTTTTTCTCAAAATATTTTTTGAAAATAGTTTTTGTTTATCAAAATCTTACCAATTTTTTCAATTTCACTTGAAAATGCATTTTTCAAATTTGAAATTTCAATTGAAAATGGGATTTTGCTAGTTTTTAGTTTTACAAATTTACTCTATATTTTTAAAATTTATAAAATGACCCCATCAGCTATTAACCTACAATTACCCATAGAAACACAAAACGCGCAGGTCTTCTTCTCACCAAAGTGCGCGGCTGCCTTTGCCATCCCATTCCGGCAAGGGGTTGGCATCTCCCATCAGCTGCAACGATATTATTTGACGGTAATTGCTAAAATTTATTATTATTTGCTTGATTTGTAAGATTTTTTCATAGATTTATAAACTCTTACATGTATGTGAGTTCTTCCTGCATTGCAATTTCT